GGGCAATCTTCGGTTCCACTCCAGATATGATAATCGAGTCGGATGCAAGCTTACATGGCTGGGGCGCGCGCTGCGGCTCCATATCTGTCACGATTCGGGGAACCAAACACGCCAACACACACACACACACACAAAGTGCCGTACCGGACCTTAGAGTGGCCGGGCTAAGCACACAAAGAATAGTCAGGAAACAAGCCGAGTAAGGGGAACCAGAAGACAGAATAACGTGAAACAAGCCGAGGTCAAAGGGTAGGAGAAAGTCACAGAGTCGGATAACAAGCCAGAGAGTACGTAACCAGAAGCACAAGTTCAGAATCAATACTAACAAGCAAAGACCACAACAGGGCAAGGAGGAACAGGAAAGGTAAGTATTTAAACCATCAGGTTAATTCTGATTGGATGATTTCCAATCAGAATTAACAATCACACGTGGGAGATATTTAGACCTCCCACTGTGATTGTGGCACTTTGCCTTTAACGCCGGGTCAGGTGACTGAACCCGGCGTGTATAACCCTGGGCGGTCTCCCAGCGTGCAGCGTCATGCATGCTGCCGCTGGGGGACGTGGAGGGAACGGCGGGCGGCATCCGAGGCTGGAAGGATGCCGCTCGCCGTACCCACGAGGTGGAGGGGACCGCGGACGGCTGGAGGGTGAGTACTGCGAGCGGAGTGCAGCCTCCCCTCGCAGCCGCCCGCGGGAGCCTGACATTACCCCCCCCTCGAAGACCACCCAGGGGGTGGGAAGCGGAAGGCTTCAAAGGAAAGCGGGCATGAAAGGAGCGGACCAAAGAGGGAGCGTGCACATCGGAGCTTGAAACCCAGGACCGCTCCTCAGGGCCGTACCCCTTCCAGTCCACCAAATATTGCAGCCGACCCCTAGAAACACGAGAGTCGAGAAGGGTAGCCACCTCGTACACGTCGTCAGAGACAGCTCGAGGGGAAACGGGCCGCCCGAGGGGACGAGAGAACCGGTTACACAGCAAGGGTTTCAAAAGCGAGACGTGAAACGTGTTCGGGACACGCATGGAAGGAGGCAAATCAAGGGAGTAGGAAACGGGATTAACCCTACGTAACACCTTGAAGGGACCAAGAAATCTGGGGGCGAATTTCATCGAGGGAACCTTGAGACGGAGGTTCCGGGAGGACAACCATACCCTATCACCCGGAACATAGGAAGGGGCCGCAACCCTACGGCGATCAGCAAACTTTTTCTGAGCAGCCGCTGAACGAGACAGCGCAACATGGACTTGATCCCATGTCTTCCGCAAAGAGGCGAGGTGCTGGTCCAAGGCGGGCATTCCCTTGTCGGAGAACGCACCGGGAAGGACAGAAGGACGAAACCCATAAGCAACCTCAAAAGGACTTAAGCCAGTAGACGAATGAGTCACCGTATTCCTGGCAAATTCAGCCCACGGAAGAAGGCGAGACCAGTCATCCTGGTGCGCATTAGTGAAGCAGCGCAAATACAATTCCACAGACTGATTAGCACGTTCGGCCGCACCATTAGATTGCGGGTGATAGGAGGAAGAAAACGACAAGGATACCCCCATCTCAGCACAAAAGCCCCTCCAGAACCGAGAGACAAATTGAGGGCCCCTGTCAGATACGATATCCTGGGGTACCCCATGCAATCGGAACACTTCTTTGGCAAATACCTGAGCTAACTGAACCGCAGAAGGCAGTTTCTTAAGCGGAATGAAGTGCGCCATTTTAGAGAACCTATCCGTCACAGTCAGTATCACCGTCTGACCATCAGAAAGAGGCAGGTCTACAATGAAATCCATGGATAAGTGGGTCCATGGTTTCTTGGGTATAGATAGAGGCATCAGAAAACCCTGGGGTCTCATATTAGGGGACTTACATTGCGTGCAGACCTGACAAGCCTGAACAAAATCCACTACGTCTCGCTTGAGTGAAGGCCACCAGAACTGTTGAAGGAGGCCCTTGTAGGTTTTGGTAACCCCCGGATGACCAGCAGTTTTGGCTGTGTGAAATAAAGTTAACAACTTTTTTCTGTCATTAGCTTCAACGTATAGTTTACCAACCGGCGTCTCAGGGGGTGCCTGGGTTTGGTATGTCTTAATACTATTAAGGAAAGGTGAAGAAACAACCAAACGGGTAGCAGCTATTATCTGAGACGCAGGTACAATAGGTTCAGGAGTCGGGTTAACAAATTCTACTGGTTCATGCTGCCGAGAGATAGCGTCAGCTTTGGCATTACGGCAACCAGGTCTATAGGTGATAACATATTGGAAGCGTGAGAGAAATAGAGACCATCTAGCCTGCCGGGCAGATAACCTTCTAGCATCAGCAATATAGGATAGATTCTTATGATCTGTTATAACCATAATTTTGTGTCTAGAACCCTCTAATAAGTACCTCCATTCCTTGAAAGCTAACACAATAGCTAATAGTTCCCTATTCCCAACATCATAATTCTTCTCTGAATCAGACAACCTTTTAGAAAAATAACAACAGGGATGGAGGGGTTTGTCATAAGACAACCTCTGTGACAGTACGGCTCCCACACCTGACTCCGAGGCGTCTACTTCCATAACAAAGGGAAGAGAAGGATCAGGGTGGTGCAGCACTGGAGCAGAGGCAAATGCCTTCTTGAGGGTTTCGAAGGCCTTAAGGGCTTCAGGAGTCCAAACCCTAGGATGTAGACCTTTTTTTGTCAACTTCGTTATGGGAGATATGAGTGGTGAAAAGTTTTTATAAATTTCCTATAATAGTTGGCAAATCCTATAAAACGCTGGATAGCCTTTAGTCCTTGGGGAAGTGGCCAGGACATTATAGCTTCCAATTTAGCAGGATCCATACTGAAACCCTGTTCAGTAATGATATATCCTAGGAATTGCACAGAGGTCTGATCGAATAAACATTTTTCTAACTTACAGTAGAGTCCGTTCTGCAATAGCCTTTTGAGCACCATCCTAACATGGTTATGGTGTGACTTCAAATCAGGAGAATACACAAGTATGTCGTCAAGGTATACTACAGCACAGACATGCAATAGATCCCTAAGGACATCATTTATGAGGTCCTGAAACACGGCAGGAGCATTACACAATCCAAAAGGCATGACCAGATATTCGTAATGCCCACTGCGTGTGTTGAAGGCTGTCTTCCACTCGTCATTCTCCTTTATACGGACAAGGTTATAAGCCCCCCTGAGGTCTAATTTTGTGAAAAATTTAGAACCTTTAACACGATCAAACAACTCAGTGATGAGGGGGATAGGGTAGGCGTTTTTAACCGTTATATTGTTCAGACCCCTGTAGTCTATACATGGCCTCAAATCACCCTCCTTCTTTGCCACAAAAAAGAAACCAGCACCAGCAGGAGAGGAGGACCTTCTAATAAAACCTTTTCTTAGGGATTCCTGTATGTACTCCTCCATGATTTGGTTCTCTTTTTCAGAAAGAGGGTAGACCTTTCCCCTAGGAGGCATAGTGCCCGGTAAGAGGTTTATGGCACAATCATACTCACGATGTGAAGGTAGCTTATCTGCCTCCCTCTTTTCAAAAACCAAGGCAAGGTCTGCATAAACAGAGGGCACAGAAACCGAGAGTGGTTTAGCCGTGGGTACGTTAAGTAAACAGACAGGATGTACATGAGCCACACAGTCTCGCTGACAAGATTCCCCCCAGGAAAGTATGTCTAAACAACCCCAATCAAGAACAGGGTTGTGTTTAACTAACCAGGGAAAACCTAGAATGATGGAGGCTGTTGGGGAGTTAATTATTTGGAAGGTTAACTTCTCTTTGTGCAAAACACCCACAGACATAACTATTTCCTGGGTTTCATGGGTCACCAGAGGTTTCTCCAGTGGTCTACCATCTATGGCCTCAACGGCCAAGGGTGTCTCCTTTTGAATCAAATTCAGGGCTGCGGTTTTGGCAAAGGTC